ACGGGGCCCGTGGAGGTGCTGCAGCCGTGAGGGTGTGATTAGGCTTGCGCCAGCTGTATTTTTATCTTCTCGTTTAAGGATATTGTCCGAGTAGGCTGCATTCGCTCGAGTGCGAAGAGGGCAGCACAAAAGAGGTGGTGGTGTTCGCTGGTTAACTTTGTTTTTGGTTTCTTTTTTTTGGTTTGCAACGCCTCACCTCTTAGTCTCTATCATGCCAGTCAATTTGAATGTTGCTTAGAGGCTTACATTTTTAGTACGCTAAAATATGGTAACTTGCTGGTTGAAGGGATGAGCAATAACGCGTTTTCTTTTCTTTGGTACCTGCATTCTGTAGGAAGAATGGGTTGATACTTCTTGTTAGCCAAAGAGAAGAATATGTTACTGTGTTCGATGCCCTGCACACTAATACTAATGTTGAAATACCAGAGGTTATCGTCCACTCGTGAGGTATCTGGGTGGTATTTAGAGAGGGCCTGCATAATTAAGTGAAGGGGCCTGCCAGGAAAGCAGTGTAGCATTATGCTTGTTTCTTCAATTTCTGGTAGTTAGGCCCTGCTCATGACATTAAAAGGCCAAACATAGGAATGGATAATATCATGGCTTTCTCCTGACTTAGTGTAAGGGAAAGTGATCAACGCTTTATACCTAAAGTGTCAAAAGCATGGAGTAATAAGAAAGCAGTTTCCCGGTTTTGGGAGATTTTTCTTGGTCTTGTAATCAGGTTGGTAGAAGTTAATATGTTAATGTTTGTCCCTTTTCTGAGAGCTCAAGTTACAATTAATTTGAAAGCATTTGAGGTTAAAAGAAGGAGGAAAAAAGCTTAGTTCCTCCAGTATTAGAATGCAGGTTAATAGGTTCATAGCTTTTTAGTGGAAAGAGAATAAGGAAAAACAAAGACTGAAAATATGAAAGAAGGTGTGTAATAAAGTAGTGAAACTGAGAAGGATCTTTGCAAGGAGCTACAAGCTGGTGAAATGTGGATCTATACTGAGAGTATAATGCAGTAATGTTTTCCACAGTTAACTCATGTTCTCAAATATAGATGTATGGCTTCTCAACAACTTGTATTTTCTACTCTGGGAGAAATTTTAAATCAGATGTAGGTTGCTTCTCAAAAGTTGGCTTAACATGGCAAGTTACCAGTTGTTGAGGTATCTATTTTTTTTTAAGTAGGTGAAAGACGTACGCACTGGTAGTTAGTATGAAGGCTGGCCTTGGATATAGTTATGTTTGTCCTTCCATGCATTAGGAGATCAGGTAAAGTGTATGAGAAGAGCAGCTGTAACAAATAAGTTGCAGTTCATTTCCTAGTAGAGAGTAGACTTCTGTATTCCCTGGAGATAGATGTGAATGAATATAGTACTAGAGGCACATAAAATTGCTTTAAAGCATATTTTGTGCTCCTCGTGCTATTTGTGGAGGGAAGAAACATGTGTGACTAGAAGCCAATACAAATCTTTTAGTTTGTGAATTGATAGTACTTTTTGTGTGACTGGTCTCTGAGCCTGCCTGCAGAGTTGGTTTCACCTTCTTTACGGGCCTTCCTTGCAGGAAATGGAGGGGAAGTGTTTCTTTGAGTAAAACACACCAGGAGAAGAGTTAGAAAACCACAGGTATTGCTGGAGGGTCCTTGGGCAGAGTGATATCTGTTACTCAAAGCACTGAAACTAGTTGAATTTACACTTTGAACGATCTAGATTTCAAGCTCATGGTCTCTTACCTTCAAGAAGGTAGAATCTTTGGAGGAGTGAAATCAAGAGGCCTAATTGTCTTTCAGAGGAAGAGAGCTGATGATGAGTGCATTCCAGATGAGTATGGGTGTATTTCATTCACTAAATATTTTGGAAGATAATACTTCATGTTTGAGATTTGATTTATTTTTAATTTCTTTCTGTGGAGTGCTTGTAAAGGTTGCTGCTCTTGTAGACTAGCCTTAAAGAAGGAAATTTATCTTCGGGGTTTTGATCACCTCTGAAATCCTTTTTCTCCCTCCGTGCCTCTCCTCTGCTCTGTGAAATTCAGCTTGTTGTCTGTTGTGTCTTTCACTGCTTGGGTGAATAAATACTCATACTACCCTGTTAGGTATGTTGCTGGGCATCCTGTATACTGTAGGAAGCCAAAAGGCAGTTGCTGTGTTTAAGGAGGTACTGAGTATACAATTAAGGGAGGATCTGATCTGAAAAGGTGTTGTGACCTGATACCATTGTTCTCTCCCTGATACTACCTTCTGCCTCTACTCTTTGTGTAGAAACACATGATCAGACCCAAACAAATGGCTCTTACACTATAGGACTGCTCTACTCTAT